ACCCTGATATGGCTTGATTGGCTCTGTGTCCCCACCCAAATCTCATCTCGAATTATAATCCCCATGTGTTGAGGGAGGGAAGTGATTGGACTATAAAGCTGGTTTCCCCCATGCTGTTCTGTGATAGTGAGTGAATGCACAAGATTTGATGGTTTTATAAATGGTAGGCTTTCCTATGCTCACACATGCTCACTATTCTCTTGCATGCCACCATGTAAGATGTGTCTGCTGCCCCTTCCATAGTGAGTATAAGTTTCCTGAGGCCTCCACAGCCATGTGGAACTGTGAGTGAATTAAGCCTCCTTTGTTTATAAATTACCCAGTCTCAGGTATTATTGTATAGCAGTGTGAGAATGGACTAATATAGATCCTCAGAGGAGAGGAATGCAATTAAATTGTGCATTCTGGAAGATAGAATTTAAAGGGCATCAGAGGAAGTTTGTAGTCTTAAGAGCAGGGGTTCTCATTCTGGTGGAATGTCCCAATCATCTCAGGAGTACTTAAATATGCAGACTTTTGAGGTCCCATCTACAAAGGTTCTGGTCTAGTTGACCTGGGGGAAAAGCTCCCAGCTAGATTGTGAATGTCCTGCTCTGTGTAGTTTGATGTGTGGTTCCTTTTTTGGTGCCTGCTGCCTGATGACCCAGCCACTAGCTGACTCTCTCAGCTTCTCCCCTACCTTCTTTTCCACAACCTCATTGCCTTGGATCCTTCAAGCCTTACCTGTAACTTCACCTTCTTAGTGAGACCTTCCCTGATAGTAAAAATTGTACCCCATCCCCCAGCACTTTTTATTCCCCTTTCCTGCATTATTTTTATTCAGCACTTATCACCATCTAATATATGATTTGATTTGCTTCTTTGTGTTTATTGTCAGTTCCATCCACCAGAATGTAAGATTCAAGGCAGAATTTTTATGTATTTTGTACAAACTGTCTCCCCAGGACATAAAACACAGGAGATGCTCAATCAATACTTGTTGAATGAATAGGTGAATGGATATCTGCTGCTTAGCCATTATTTGGTAGACATTAGCTTCTGCTTGCTGGTGATCTGTCAGGGCCCTTCGTGCCCATGGACACCCTCTGTGACTCCTGGATTTTAGCTTCCCCAATTGATTGCCTGATTGGATCAGGGTATTTTTGGACTGATTTTTTCCCCCAGGTCATTTTTTGAATGGGTATGACTTGTCTGTGTCTAGGTCAGTGTGCACTCGGGGGCAATCAACAGTGATTCAGGGATTACACACACAGTACAAAAGAGTACTGCCTAGGGCCACCATTCAGCAAGGGCTGGAGGAGGGGCAGTTTCTCCAAGCCAACCTTGGTGCTGGATGACTGTTCAGCAAATTACCTAACCGCGATGAGCTTCAGGAAATTTGCAGTAACAACACCAGTTTGTCTGAGACAGACTGGGAATTCTTCAGTCGTTCAAGTGAACAATATATGGAACATGCTCGCAGAAGGCGTTTTCACTATTAATTTATAATATGACTAAAACAAGATGAGTATGGGAAGTTACATAATTTTGGATGACATTTAAATGTGGCTTAAAAAAAAAAAGCCTGCTGGTATGGTAGCTCACTCCTGTAGTCCCAGCTACTCGAGAGAGAGGATCGCTTGAGGCCACGAGATTAAGAACTTGAGACCAGCCTTGTCAATACAGGAAGACCTCATCTCTTAAAAATAAATGAATTAGGCCAGGAGCAGTGGCTCATGCCTATAATCCCAGCACTTTGGGAGGCTGAGGCAAGTGGATCACAAGGTCAAGAGTTTGAGCCCAGCCTGGCCAACATGGTGAAACCCCATCTCTACTAAAACTACAAAAATTAGCTGGGCATAGTGGCATGTGCTTGTAGTCCCAGCTACTTGGGAGGCTGAGGCAGGAGGATTGCTTGAACTTAGGAGGTGGAGGTTGCAGTGAGCTGAGATCATGCCACTGCACTCCAGCCTGGGTGACTCCATCTCAAAAAAAAGAAAATAATTAATTAATTAATCTAAGAGAAATAGTAGAGGAGAAATTAAAAATTTAGAAACGTGTTGCTTGATGTGCCTTTGGATTCTTTTTTTTTTTCTCCAAAATGAGCCTTTGGATTCTTCTTCGCCACCCTTTAATGTTTTTAAAATGTTACTCTCATTTCATATTGATTTCTAGTTGGCAGGGGCTTCTGTACATAACTTCCAAAGTGATATTTAAGAGGAATAAATGCAAAGATCTGCACTGTTTCCAAACTCAAATTGCAAAATACAGGTTGAAGAAGATATGGTTTTATAGCTGTCTATATGTTAAAGACTTAAAAAGGATTTGGGGGTAATTTTTGCTTGTTTTTAGTTGGCAATGACATGCTATTTATGAACAGTATGTGATGGTAGAAAAATAATGTGATATCAAACTGAATTTTGAAATATCATCATTAGAATGCATAAAATTGTACTCCTCTACTTCTCTCTTTATTGGAATATTGGATTCAGTTCTAGGTGCCACATTTTCAGAGTCACTGGCGGATGTTTAGATAAGAGCGTATGGAGATGAATGGGACATGAATAAAGAGTGGGTGGAGAAGGCACACACTGTGACTGCTGACTTCAAATGTTTACAAGGCTGCAAAAGGGGAGAGAACCAGGCTGTTTTGTATTAAACAAATGTTAGTACCAGGTTCAGATTCACTGGACATTGCATTCATATTTACAATAATGATTTAAGGCGCTATGATTATCATTTTCCCCTTTTAGAATGGAGCAAACTCATACCTGCAGCAGAATCGTGCTTTTTCAAGGTCACACAGCTAGGAAGTCATAAACCCAGGATTTGACCACACTTCTTTGGAGTTTAAGTCCAGTGGTGTTTCTACCAATACTGGTAGCTACCCACCAAATGTATACAGACACACATTTCAGTTGAACATAGGAACTAGTAGGACTGTTTACAAATGAACACTGTTATGAGGTCATGAATGGTTTCCTATCACTTGGAGTTTAAACTTATGCTGGATAGCTACTTTGCAAGGATCTCGTACCTTTATAGCAAAATATTAAAAACAAATGCTAATCATAGAGCCAAAGAAACTCCACAAGTGAAGTCTCATGACTGTAAGTGATAGAGATAAGTTCATTCAGTAGTTATTGGAAAACGTAGCATCCAAATTTCTTTCTCTGAATTTACAGTCTAATGTTTTTTTCCATTGTAGCAGTTATCTCTCATCTAACACCTAGGTAAATACAATGTGGAACCAGAAGGTATGGAAAGAGGAAGGGCAGGGATATTTTGTGAATTCCTGTAATGGATTGCTTGGCATGCTCTTGTTTTATTAGGTAAGCAAAGAATGTCAGTGGTAGTTGGAGAGAGTTTAAAATGATAAGAAGAGAATGCCACATAGTCGAGAAAGAAAAAACAGAATACCAGGGAAGGCTAAAAAAGTCAGGGACTATGGATTTCACTGTATTTTCTTCTTGTTGAGTAGATGCTCAACATTTATTTGTTGGAATGGAAAATGATTTCAACACTTCAGCAAACAGTAAAAGAGAACCTTCTTTGTGCTAAGCACTGTGCTATGTTCTGGGGAGAAAAAATGAACCAGACAAAATCCCTATCCTTTTAAGGACACACAGTCTAGAAAGAAAAGGCCACTAAGCAAGGCAAAGGGAAAAAAGCAAGTACTAAAGATTATCATAGGGAATACTGTAGACAAATGATTTTATGAAAGCAGAGAGAAAAAGAGTATTTAGTTCATTGTAAAGGTGTGGAGTAAGGATGCGGATGTGGTGAAAGGTGATGTCAGGGAAGATTCCAAGGAGGGAGTGATGCACTATCTTCATTATCTTGAAGGATAATAGGAGTTCAGCTGGTTAGATGAGGAATGGATTTCAGGTGGGGAAAACTACAAGGGCACAGAGACAAACTCTGTTGAATTTGTGTGATATGTAGATATATTAGGAGTTGAAGCTGGAGCCAAGGAGGTCAACAGATTAGACTTTAAATGGCTTTGTATACCATGGTAATGAGTTTGAACCTGATTTAACCAGGTGCAGCGATTGAATGATTTTTAAAGAGGTACGTTTCCTGCTGAGCTCTGTCTTTTTGGAGCACTCTCTCTGGCAGTTATAAGGAACTGAAACAGAAGTGAAATTAAAGGCTTGACCTAAAGAGTGGCAAAGAGGCAAAGAGGCTGAAATCATGGAGACAGGCTGTTATTCACAGAATTAAGAGTAAGAATTTATCTATGGGATTTTAAGTCAGAAAACTTTAGTGGAGAGAAATTTGGTTGCTTAGTTGTTGGAATGGCAAGATTTTATCAACAGAATTAGGTGCTACTGAAGTGAGTGGCAGAGTGAATACCATGGAAGTCTTGAGATTGGGACTACACAGCTGCTCTGATCTGGTGTGCATTTGCTGATGACTCTTTTGAACTGAATTCAGGAAATGACACAAAAATGATTTGCGCAATAAAATGAGAACGAGGACTCTGAATTCAGTATATTTAAAGAAAAATAACTAGGTTGGTAAAAATGGAGAAGTAGCTATTATTAGGAAGTCCCATTTGTGGATTAATTTTGGACTGCCCAATGGAAAGATCCTCAAAGCGAAACAAATGCCTTGAATCCAGCCCTTTCTCACCGCAACCCTTTCCCCTTCATCTGCCTTCATCCTTCAGTCACAGCACCGCTTGGCAGTGGGTACTTGGGAGCAGCTCTTGGAGACCTTGTAATCGAACCTTCGAACTACAGGATGAGGTCAGGGGAAATAAATGACTTGCCAAGATTCCTCCCTTAAGCCCAGACTTCTGACTTCAGGTCTGGGGACCTGCCACTCCTCCAGACTGCCTCCCACCTGGGGAACCTGGGCCTCGGCGAGAGGCGGGGAAGGCAGGGTCCAGCTGGGAGCACTAGAGTCTCCCTGGCACTCAGCCCTGAGCCCCGGGCCTGGCGGGACGCCCCGCCCCGCCCCGCCCCTTTTCCCCCTTCCCCCTTCCCGAGCCGGGCTGGGTCGCTGTACCGCCGTCACCCGGGCGCGCGCGGGGTCGCGCGGACGCGGCTCCGGCCGCGGGTGCCGAGAGGTCGCCGGGCCACCCGCACCGCCGCCCCCCGCCTGACGCACGGAGGGGCCGGGACGCTATTTGCCACGAGTGACTGGAGTCGCCGCCGCCGCCGCCGCCGCCGCCCGGGCCCGCTCCGCCCCCAGCCCGCCTTCCTCCCGCCGCGCCCTCCGCCTCCTCCCGCACCTCGCTAGCGTTCCCCTGTCCTCCCCAACGCCCCGGAGCCGCCGGCCGCTAGCGCGGGCGCCAGCCAGGTGAGTGTGGCCGCCGCTCGGCCCCGATGGCCCGGGCGGGAGGAGCGCGCAGGCCTAGCGGCCGGGTGGCCGGCGTGGGCCGGTGTTGGCAGCGGCGGTAGCGGGCCCGGCTTTCTTCCCCCGCGCGGGCCGCTGAGCCGCGGGGCTGCGCAGTGAAAGAGGGGCCCCCGCCCCGCCACCCCCGCCTCTCCCAGCGCCCCGGCCGCCCCCGCCGCCTCAGACAAAGCGCCGGAGGTGGGAGCCTCGCGGGCCGCCTTTGCCTCCGCGCCGCCTGCCGGGTGCGGCCGCGGCTCGCAGAGACCGGGCCGCGCACTTCTCCGTTCCTGAGAGCCCTTGTTCATTTCTGGGTGAAAGGGACCCGAATTGTGCAACAGGTTTGGGCGTTAATCCTTATTTTCCGTCGGGTCTCTCCTGCCAGCGTGCAGGGACCAGATGTGGCGCCCGGCTCTGGGGCGAGTCCCCGCGTTCAGCGCCCGCGGCTGGCTCCTTTGTGTGACCGGTGACCGGCCCTGTCGGGTGGGTGAGGGACACGGGCTCGAGGCCCCAGGGCTGTGCCGAGGCTCCTGGACGCCTCCTCAGGGCGCGGGGCTTGGCTTCCACGGGCCTGCTGGGGGTTAACACCCCTCCAGCCTTTAGGAGAGTCACAAAGGAGAAGAGAGGGCCGGTTGCCCAGGTCCGTGGTTGTGTGTTTATTTTTCTATTTTAGGTAGACTCAAATTAGAAAAGAGCCGCAGTCTGACCAGCTCTTGAAGGTACGGGTGGGATTTCACCCTGGGATGCAGGGTTTGGACTTGGCTGTTGCTGTGACAGCCCCCGTGGTTTTCCTGGTGCTTTGACATCTTTCTCTCATACACAGACATCGCGGGAGAAGTTGGGAGTGTTGCCGAGGGAGTAACTGGATAGCAGCTGTTTGACAGGTCGTCTCTTGCTTCACGTTTTGCCTGTGTCAAGCATGCCCACCATGTATCCCCGCATAGCTTGGCAAGCCATCAAATTTAAACTGCTACTCAAAATGCCCCCATGTTGGAAAATCCTAATCCTTATACATGCATACATACATACATACATACACAGACACACATACATATTTTTGTTTTTTCTTTTTTGGTTGACTAAATCTTATTTTCTTAGTGTGAGAATTTTCCCCCCAAGAAAGAATGCACAATAAGGTACAGTTTATCTTTGTTTACATACTTTGGGTCATGCCAATACCTAGCTAGTTTCATTGGTATGCTATTTTAGTGTAACAATACTAAATAGAAGGAAGGTATCTTCCTTTAGCTTTGAGCAATAAAATACGTCTTTGTTCTAGAACCAGGAAGCTTTTATACGTAATACTTTTTCTGGGTAAAAGTTGGTTACTGTCGTTGCCCCATGAATAAATACGTGAAAAAATTCCCAAAGGACCCAGAAAGCATTTCATAATTCTATAGGCTGTTTTTATGTTCCAAATTCCAGGAAATCATTTTGTTGAATATTTATTCGAACAGTCTAGACTAAATTTAATCTTAAAACTTGGGCCTACTCTAATTAAGGTTCCCCAGCATCAGAAAAATGGATTGCATTTACCAAAAAGTTTAGTCCCTGTGAGTAAGAATCGAATGGAATAATTCATGTAAGAGACTGGAGCTAATGATGGACTAGGAATCTGACAACAGAATGCAGAAAATAGGAAGTTGTAAGTAGAGGTCATGACGTTGCACCTACTTGGGTTTTAGTTGATTGCTAGGCATTTAATGGCATTTTAAACAGGTAATCTTGCTAATCACGTATCTGAAAATGAAATGTCCATTAATTAAAAAAGCAAAATATAGCATTTTGACCTTTTTTAAAAACCGTACTTTATAAGGACTCCTTGAAGCTTTTCCACTCTCTAAAATTGAACTTGGCATTAATTACATTTCTTTTGAAAAAATGAAATTGTACAAACTAATCTGATTTGTAGAAAGTTTCTCTGTTATAGTAGCTTTACTTTACTAAAAATACCATTCATCTGTATAGTAGCTAACTTCAAAGATCTTTTAAAGCTGTTACAAGCAACAGGAGCAACCTCTTGAGGAAAGTAGAATATTTACTAATAAGTAGCAAGCAGAAAAGTGAGCCATGATTGGGCCACTGCATCTGTCGTGGGTGACAGAGCAAGACCTTATCTCAAAAAAAAAAAAAAAAAGAAAAAAAAAGAAAAATAGCAGAGGCTTAAATTTTTATAATAGTTTTCTTTGAGATACAATTCATATGCCATGGAATTCACTTTTTTAAAGTATACAATTCAGTGGTTTTGGTGTATTCACAAAATTGTGCAAATGTCAACACTAATTCAGGAACTAAAAAGAAACTTGTACCTTTATTGCTATTCTCCCCATATTTGACAACCACTACTTTATGTGTCTATGTATTTGCCTATTCTGGACATTTCAGGTGAATGGAATCATGTGGCCTTTTTATCTTTCACTTAGCATAATGCTTTCAGGGTTCATTTATATACCATATATCAATATTTCACTCCTTTTATGGCAGAATAATATTTCGTTATATGGCTATGCCATATTTGTTTATCCATTCTTCAATTTGTGGGCATTTGGGTTGTTTCTACTTTTTGGCCATAATCATGTTATGAATAATGAATAATGTTGTGGATACTCATTTACAAGTTTTACAAATTTTTGTGTGTTATATATGCTTTCAGTTTTCTTGGGTATATACCTAGGTGTGGAATTGCTAGGTCATATGGTAATTCTGTTTAACTTGTTGAGGAACTGCCAGACTGTTTCCCAGAGCTGCTGCACTGTTTTACGTTTCTTCTAGCCACATCCTTGCCAACACTTGTTAATGTTTGTCTTTTTGATGATAGCCATCCTAGTGGCTGTGAAGTGATAACACATTGTGATTTTCATTTGTATTTCGTCTTTTCATGTTTTTATTGGCCATTTGTATATCATCTTTGGAGAAACGTCTAATTCATAGTAGTTTCTGTGTTTTTTACATGTATTTTCTAATTTAATCTTTTAAATGATGCTGTAAGGCAGGTTTAGTCCTATTTTACTGCCAGGAAACTAAAGTGCAAAGAAGTTTAATCATCTGCTTGTTTTTTTAACCTTACAGTTAAGAGACAAGGTCTGAATGTAAACTCGGGTTTTCTGACTCTATTTCCTGGACTCAAGGAGGCATACAGAAGTTAAATTGTGTTTGTGAATGTCTGGCTGATCAGTAACAAAGTGAGAGAAAAATAAAAAATCAAACAATAACAAAGAATAAGGTATTTGTGGCCATACTGCCACATATTCATCAGATTTTATTACGCTTTTTCAAATAAATTTCTTTTCTTGTGTCATAATAAGGTAGGTCTGCTTTCCACATTTCCAACGGGGAAACAGAGTCAGAGTGATTCAACCTTCTTAATGGCATAGCTGATCCTAGAAGCCACTATTTGAATAGTATATATGTATATATATATATATAGAGAGAGTAGAAGCTGAAAATCTCCCTTCACTTTTTGTCTTTTTCCTCTTTTTCACTCCTAAGACCACTTCCATCTTAGAGAAACCACTGTTAACAGTCTGAGGTTTATCTTTCCAAACCTGTATCTTTGCATTTATTGTGTGTATTTATGAATAAATTTTTATATTCCACCACACACACATACGTGTTTCTATTCACAATGTTTTTTCTTTTACAGATGGGATTATACTAAATATATTCCTTTGTTTTTCACAGAAATATGTTAAATTTTTGCATCTGTAATTAAAAGGATAAATCTAATATTTACGTTTTCATTTAAGTTTGCTATCCATGCGTGGCTTCGGTGTCAAAATGAAGCCAGGATTAAGATTGATTGGGAGACTTTCCACTTTTTTCTGTGCTCTGGAACAGTTTAAAATGCCCTTTAAACATTTACTAGAAATCATCTGACAACTGTGGGGGCAGAAAGAGATCTGAGATGACCTTTCTAATTTTTTTTTTCTTTTGAGACAGGATCTCACTCTGTTGCCCAGGCTAGAGTGCAGTGGGGTGACCACTCTTCACTGCAGCCTCAATCTTCTGGGCTCAAGTGATCCGCCCACCTCAGCCTCCCCGGTAGCTGAGATTACAGACATGTGCCACCATGCCCAGCTAACTTTTGCATTTTGTAAAGATGAAGTTTCTCTGTGTTGCCTCCTGAGTTCGAGGTCTCGAACTCCTGAGCTCAAGTAATCCGCCCACCTTGGCCTCTTCAAATGTTGGGATTACAGGTATGAGCCGCTGCACCTGGCTGTTTTTCTTATTTGTAAAATGGCGATAATTCCTACCTCATAAAAGTGTTGAAAATATTAAATGAAATGTGAGCCGATATATGAAAAGGCTCAGTAGTTGCATCTAATATAAAGAAAAAATATAAACTGTAACATGCTATACAAATGTAAATTTGTTACTACAGTTATTGTAATTATCTTTTAACCTAATAGGAACAAATTTAAGTTGATAGGATTGGGAGCTAGGGACAGTTGCCACTAATAAATCAGAAGGATCTGTAAAAATTCACAGGCCATTTGGGATTTGATTCTAGTAGACAATGATATCTAAATTCTCACACTCTTTAAGAAGGGTAGTAGGGAAAATCATTGAGTAAACAGATCTGGATTAATCTTGTTTTATCACTTGTTAGCTTTGTGACTTTGCACAAACTAATTTCTCAGTAAAATGAGATAACACCTACTTTATAGATCAGTTATAAAGAAAGAGATTAGTTTCTAGCATGTAATAGGTGTTCAAAATAGTCATTTTTTTTTCTTTGCATGTGGTGAATACCCAGCAGTGACAAACCTGAGATGCTGAGGTCTGTTATTTTAAGGTTGCTTGATGTGGCGGAAAGAATGTTAAGCCCTAAGGTAGACTTTTATTCTGTCATATGTTTATTAGCTATTGGCTATGGATGAATCACCTCAGTACTCAGATCCTTGTGTTTTCCTTACCTATAAAAAAGCTAGAGAACTAACACTAGGCACTTTACAAACCTTATCTCA